CCTCAGTTGTCTTTTAGCAGCCAATACCAGACAAGTGACACTACAGTTGCCTCACTTGTTTGGTTTTGCACCAGAAAAGCAGCAAAACCAGACGAGTGATGACATAGCTGCATTAACTAATGACCCCCTGCCCTTCGGAGACCACCAACCTGAGAGCACACCTGGAAAGCTGATGAATATTCTACTGAAACCCTTCCCTGAGACCTCCCCTATGATTCCCCACCTGCAAGAGAGAAATAAGGACATAGGACCCAGTGGTGTTCTGGGGAACATGCCCATCATTCCCTCCCCCCTCTCCTTTCCCACAGGCATGCATCTCCTAACCTCAAAGACCTCATGAGACCAGCAGCCAGGGAGCAGTGGCAGTGGCAGCTCATTCCAGGCTAACCCTTTAACCTGTCTCCAAGGCAGCCTTTTCTCTGATTTCCCAGTGAGCCAAAGCAGATTAGCCTAGACCCAGTGGTCGGCAAACCGCGGCTCTCGAGCCACATGCGGCTCTTTGGCCCCTTTAGTGTGGTTCTTCCACAAAATACCATGTGTGGGCGTGCATGTACAGTGCAAAGCTGACTTAACACTTTAAGTAAAGTTTATTAAGTTAATTTTAGGGAACATTGTGGAGTGAAAGAAGATGTAGTGTCGAGGATTGAGAAAGGTATGTTGAGATGGTTTGGACCAGGAGTGGGCAAACTTTTTGGTTCGAGGGCCACAATGGGTTCTTAAACTGGACCGGAGGGCCGGAACAAAAGCATGGATGGAGTGTTTGTGTGAACTAATATAAATTCAAAGTAAACATCATTACATAAAAGGGTACGGTCTTTTTTTTTTTATAGTTTTATTCATTTCAAACGGGCTGGATCCGGCCCGCGGGCTGTAGTTTGCCTACGGCTGGTTTGGACATAGAGAGAGGATGAACGAAAGGCAAGACGAGTGTGGATGGGAGAGTTGGAAGGGGTCAACCTCAGCGAACATACCTCAATCAGATTGAGGACGTTTTTAGCAAAGGCCAGCTTATGAGTACCCTAATTAAGTTAATAACAATGTACCTACCTATATAGTTTAAGTTTAAAAAATTTGGCTCTCAAAAGAAATTTCAATCATTGTACTGTTGATATTTGGCTCTGTTGACTAATGAGTTTGCAGACGACTGGCCTAGGCCCTCCTGTTGCTTCTTCTATGCTAATCCCTTCCTTATTTCACTTCCCTCCCTGAGTGTGCTTTTGCTGGGGCCGATAAATTCTTGCTTGCTATGCTGCACTTTGTCTCTTGACTGAAATCTTTCCTTCAAGAAGACAAGAACTGAGGTCTCGTCATGGTTTCGCTGGTAACATCTTGATCTCCATTTTCTGATGTTAAATAGAATCCATTAGACTAAGAGGTCTCCAAGATCATTTTTTACTTACCATTCATTGAATAAAGACTGTTTTTTTTAAAATATATATTTTATTGATTTTTTTACAGAGAGGAAGGGAGAAGGATAGAGAGTCAGAAACATCGATGAGAGAGAAACATTGATCAGCTGCCTTCTGCACATCTCCCACTGGGGATGTACCTGCAACCAAGGTACATGCCCTTGACCGGAATCAAACCTGGGACCTCTCAGTCCGCAGGCCGATGCTCTATCCACTGAGCCAAACCGGTTAGGGCAAGACTGTTTTAAACTTCCCTCTAAGTTAACTATGCTACTTTGATTACACTCATAAATTTCCAACTCACTGTTCAGGTCTCAATAGATATATTTAAATATAGTTTTTATTGATTTCAGAGAGGAAGGGAGAGGAAGAGAAAGATAGAAACATCAATGATGAGAGGGAATTATTGATTGGCTGCCTCCTGCATGGTGGGGACCGAGCCTACAACCTGGGCATGTGCCCTTGACTGGAATCGAACCCAGGACCTTTCAGTCCACTAGCCCACACTCTATCCACTGAGCCAAACCGGCAAGGGCCAGCTCTTCAATATTGATGTCTAGTAAAAGTTTTAATGTTTGAACAACCAATGACACATTTTTCCAGGGAACCAGGAAGGCAATGCTACTCTTTCAGTGTATCACTAAACTGTAAGTGTGTTAATTTAATTTTATGATGCCAACTTTTTACCCTGAGTAAAAGGCAATACAACTGAAAAGTAGGGTGTTTGTGCCTACATTAGAAAACATGTCCTGACCAATTTGGCTCAGTGGATAGAGCTTTGGCCTGAAGACTCAAGGGTCCCAGGTTCAATCCCGGTCAAGGGCATGTACCTTGGTTGTGGGCACATACCCAGTAGGGAGTGTGCAGGAGGCAGCTGATCGATGTTTCTCTCTCATTGATGTTTCTAACTCTCTGTCCCTCTCCATTCCTCTCTGTAAAAAAATCAATAAAATATTTTTTTTTTTAAAAAGGAAGCATGTTCATTTCTGAGCTTTCAAGTGCAACTCCTCTTGCCAAATGGAATTTGGCTTTTAGGCCTAAAAATCAAGATAATGTTTAGTGCATTTAACACCCCAGGATACTTCCTGAGTGCTTTCAAGCCAGAATCTCAGGAGACAGTGGTGAATAATGTATACTTGCTCTCTTTGAAAGCTTGTCATCTGTGGAAAAGGTGGACCTACAAATACTTATTTTAACGTGTAATGAGGGCAAAAATGCATGTGCCCTAGAAGTCAGGGACACAGACAAGACTGTCTGGTTCATCACTTGTCCTTGGTGCTGGCTCAGGGCCTGACACCTGATAAACTTTGTGCAGGAAAGGAGCCCCAACTTCCAACAACAGCCAATAAAGTCAGAGGATCTCTCAACAGAAAAGGGTGATATTTAAACTGAGCAAGGGAAACAACAGACAGAAAATAAACTGAGCAAGGAGGCACCTGGAAGTAACATGTAGGGGAAGAAGACAGTTTCTCTACCCTGAAGGTGATCTGGGAATTTTCCCTGGGCAGGATGGCTTCCCTGGATTCTTTGTCCGCGGGAGTTGAAGAATGAAACCACGGACGGAAGATGGTATAGTAAAGGTGGAAATTTATTGCAGAACAAGTACAGACTCCCACGTGGGGAGGGGGAAAGAGTCCCACTGAGTTCCTTAACCCCTCTCACCCCGTTTATAAAGGCTGCAGGTTTTTTTGTGCCTCGATATCCCCTCTGATTGGCCACTATTCCCCTTTGATTTGGTCACTATAGCAACTCCAGAGCTCAAAGGTCAAACCTCACCTGGGACAGGTAAGGTCCTCCTTCCTCATTGTTCTCCCATTCCCTCTGGACTCTTCTTTCTCCCTCTTTGAATGAGGGGCTGCCTTCCCTTTATTTTGTAAATATGTATCTTCTGCCACTCCCAGTTCCCTTATCTTATGGAAATATAACTGTTGCCTCTCCCAACTCCCTTGTCTTATGGAGATGTAACTGCTGCCTCTTCCAACTCCCTTGTCTTATGGAAATGTACCCTTTTGCAACTTTGTAGCCCCATATTGTTGTTTTTCCAAGGACCCCCAATTCTAAAAATTCCCTAAACCTGCCTATTTTACCCCTAAAAATTCCTATTTCAAAGGTTCTTTCCCTAAAGTAATAACCAAATAGACATTGGCTAGAGTAACAAAAGAAAGTAATTTAATTACCCCATAACATGAGAGAGTCAGAGACCCCACATGCACGAAAGGTTCAAAGACAGAAAGGCAAAATGGGTATGTATGACATTCTGAGCTAGGAACGAGGTAAGGTGACGACAGAGCTTTCAAGGGTCATCACAAGATGACAAGAATAGATGTTTAGTGATTAAAAATTTGCTCTGCCCTCAAATAGGGCAAAAGAGGTTATGTCTGATCTCTTTTTATGCACAAGGCCCCCAATTCAAGTCGTTTAGTTAGTTAATGGAGGGGCAGATGTTTCTTTTGAGCCCGAAGCTAAAATTGCCTTTAGCTAAAAAAAAAAAAAATCTGCATATCACTGAGGCATATATTGGAGTGGATCTTTCTGAACCCCCACAGGTGCTACCTATTAATTATGGAATTCAGACTGTCACACTGGGATGCTGCCCAGAAGACCAGCCTTCTCCTACCAGCTCCCTTCCTCACCCTGGACAAGTTACTTCCTCTGCCTGGGCCTCATGCTTTTCAGCAGAAAAAAGAGAAGGGGCTGAGCAATATAATCTCTGAGCTTTTGTGCGTGTGCGCGCGCCCAAGTGTGCACTAAATCCTATAAAATTTGCAGGGAAAACAAAGACCACTAGGGCACAAAAACTGCAAGCTTGCACTACAACTGAATTCTCTGATGGGTCATAAGCAAATAACATTAACAGGAAACCAAACAAAGCGAAGCCAAAAGAAGGTAGTGAAAGTTTCGGAAAACGGAAGGAAGAGCAGTTCTCAAACAGCTGAGGCGGCTGGGGGTAACAAGTTAAATATTCTGAGAAAAAATCCCCCCCCCCCCCCCAACACACACACACACAAAACCTATACAGCCTTGAGTTGGTGAGGACAAAGTGAAGGAAACAAATAACACTCCACTTACTAGATCTTTCTTTTTCTGGGACTTTTTCTCACCTCTGTCTCCCCCACCTCCCTCCCTCTGTGTCTGTCTGACCTTTGTCCCTGCCACCCCAGTTTCTCTTGTGTCTGTCCTTCTCTCTCCCTGTCTCTCTCCAGCTCCCTTCCCTCCTCCCCTCCCCCCTCCTCTCTGCCGGCGTGAGTACATTTCTTTCTCTCTCTCTCTCTCTCTCTCTCTCTCTCTCTCTCTCTCTCTCTCTCTCTCTCTCCCCCTCCCTCCCTCCCCTTCTCCCTCTCGTGTGCCCCGCTTCTCAAGAAGGAAGTCTGGGTCTCGTGCGGACCCACTGTGGCTCTTAACTCCTATTTTGAGTCGTCCCGTGGCAATTAACCTTACCCCGGGCTCACCCCGAGCTCACCCCAAGCTCAGGGTGCAGGCGAGCGGCGTGCTGGCTCCCAGCTCCGGGCCCAGGTGCCCAGCCGCCCCTCCCCCTCCGCCCGAGCCCAAGACCGAGACCCCGCCCCGCCCGCGGAGGTTTCCGCCCTCCGGTTATTTTAAGGCGGGCGGTCCGGGCCGCCCGGTTCCTCTCGCTGCCCTCCAGCTCCCTGGCCACGCGGCTGCCCGGCAGCATGGGTCCCCGGCACCGCGCCCCGCTCGCCGCCCTCCTGCTGCTGCTGCTCTGCGGCGCGGGCACCGTGCACGGCGACACACCTGCCAACTGCACCTACCCCGACCTGCTGGGCACCTGGGTCTTCCAGGTGGGCCGCGGGGGTTCCCAGCGCGAGGCCAACTGCTCGGTGATGGGTAAGCCGCCGCGTGCCCGGACTCCTTTGCCGCCCCCGAGCCCCGCTCCGCACAGCGCCCACCGAGGAGCACACCTGCCGGAGGCGGGACGCTGGCTGGCCCTGGGCCCGTGGGATGCCCGCTCCAGCACCAGGGCTGCCAGGGTCGCCGGGGCCCGGGGCCCAGTTGAGCTGCTGAGAACTTCTAACTTCACCTTTTCTTGGTTCTTCCCGGGGCTTCTGTACTTTCTAAAAAGACTGTCTTTTCACTCCCCTTAATTTGCTGTTTTCTGTTTTGTTTGTTTTTCGGTTCGGAAGAGAGTTCAGACCTTGCAATCTTAATTATCCCCCATCCAACCTGTAGGAGTGTGTGTGTGTGTGTGTGTGTGTGTGTGTGTGTGAGAGAGAGAGAGAGAGAGAGAGAGAGAGAGAGAGAGAGAGAGTGCGCGCGCGCGCCAGTGAAATCCGAGCTCAGACACTCAAGAATATACAGCAAGAAAAGTTTTCTACTTATATCCAGTGGTTTTTACTTAGATGTGTGTTGATGCTACTAGTCTGAGACAACTTCTGCACTGTCTTATGTATCCTAGGGGTGTATATAGAGTTTGTAGGGTTTTTTGTTGTTGTTGTTATTTTAATAACTCTTTAGCAATTAATTATATGTATTTGGAAATGCCTAGAGCCGAGCGCAATGCCTGGCTCAGGGAAGGCACTCAATAAATGTGTAGTGTGTGAACACACTGGATAGTCCACGTGCCCTCGGATAACGTGGTCACACCAATGACAAGGAGTTTAGTGAAGGGAGAAGAGAAAACACTGTCTTGGACAGAAGTGGCACTTTTGTTCTGCCCAAGCCCTTAGCAGCCTGTAATGAGTGAAACTGTGTCAGCTGCACTTTCCTTGTCAGCAGAACAAGGATTGCCAGGTGATCTGTCTCTAAAACAGACGGATCCAACTGTCCAACTTCCGGTGACTGTGGCATTGCATAATCCTGTGCATTTTAACCATCTGCTCTTTTAAAAAGTTGCTGTTGGAGGTGAGAATTTGCACCATTTGGGCACATGCCATGAGCATTAAAACCAGCCACGGAAAAACTGTCTAAAGTGTGGAAACCTGCAGGGGGTACCGCAGAGCCCTGTCTAGGCAGCCTCTGCATATAAACTATGCCTTCGACTTTACTGTAATAATTGAAGGCCCCCACATGTCTGAGTCCCGTCTTCTGAAGTTTAAAAGTTTGGTTCCTGTCAGCACACATGAGCTTCACGGGATAGAACCCTGGAGTTTGCTGCATCCCTTGGAAGAATGCAGATTCTGAAGTTGTGAACTGTGGGGAAAGAAGCCCCATTTCTTCGTGGAAGAGATCATTTCCTTTGTTCTTTTGACTGGTGGCAGGTCTTTTTTATATGTTTATGTTTCCAGTGTTTGACTACCATTTTGTCTTCCCTTCATTTCCACCTGTCATTTTCAGCATCCCCCATTTTTCATTTTCTTCCACGGAAGATTTTCTTCAGTCTTTGGATGCCCTGGCAAGTTCAAGGCTGTACTTTAGGGGGTCTCTCTGCCTGCTGGCCTATTTCTATCTTTTGAGCCCTCACTTCACAGGCGTGCGTGACTGGGACCCCCTCTGGAATGATGTATACAGAGGGAGGCAACAAGGTGGGAAGTCTTGGTACCTTCACAAGCCAGATTGGCTCAAAAAATCGGTGGCTTGATTTGAAAGGAAAGCAGTTTAAAGATGATGGGAGTTACAGGGGAGGTTTTCCTGCCATGGAAGTGCAGATAATTTTCCATTGTTGGGCATTTTCTTTTCTTTAGGACCACCAGAAAAGAAAGTCGTGGTGCACCTTAAGAAGATGGACACAGCCTATGATGACTTGGGCAATTCTGGCCATTTCACCATCATTTACAATCAAGGCTTTGAGATTGTGTTGAATGACTACAAATGGTTTGCCTTTTTTAAGGTTAGTTTTGTTTAAAAAAATGCATTGATGATTACAGTTATTTAATATCAGTAGACCCTCAGAATTTTAATTTAAGATTAAGAAGATAACCAGAATTGATGCCACTTTTCCCAAGAGAAATTAGGCGGTGCAATTTTGACAGTTTATTTAAAATTATGATTTCAGTAGATTAAAAAACCTGATCTATATTTGAATACGTATAATCCATCTACATTTAAATGTAAATGTTGCTTTAATCACTTGTCTTTGTACTGAATCTCCAGGAAAGATATGGATATTATAAAAAAAATTTCAAGTAATTATGCTTTTCTATCATTGTTTGTTGGTTCTGAGAAATTGGCCTAAGTAACTCATTGAAGTAATATGATATACTAAGTACATTAATGTGAATAATTTATTTGACTAAAGTAAGACAGAGATAGAGAATATCGAGTTACTCCTTTGGCTAATTAAAGTAAAAAGTTGTCCACTAAAGTTCTCTCAGTAGGAAGAACTTTTTTTAATCGGCACCCAAAGATATGTTTATTTTTTTGGAGTGAGTGGAAGGGGGGTGGGGTGGGTCCATTGATTGGTTGCCTCTTTTTTTTTTTTTTTTAAATATATTTTATTGATTTTCTACAGAGAGAAAGGGAGAGGAATAGAGAGTTAGAAGCATCCATGAGTGAGAAACATTGATCAGCTGCCTCCTGCACACCCCCTACTGGGGATGTGCCCGCAACCAAGGTACATGCCCTTGACCGGAATTGAACCTGGGGCCCTTGAGTCCGCAGGCCGACGCTCTATCCACTGAGCCAAACTGGTTAGGGCGATTGGTTGCCTCTTGTAAGCTCCCTGACTGGGGTGCCCTGACCAGGAATTGAACCCGCAACCTTTCGGTGTATGGGATGATTCTCCAACCAACTGAGCAACGCAGCTGGGACCATTGTCCATTCTCACATGCTAACACATTGCTCCCAGTTGCAGGCAGACTTCAGGGTAAAACAGTTCAGCATGGATTGTAGTCCAGCTATCCTGCTGCAGCTGGAAATTTTCCTATTGGCAGATTATGAAATGGTTTAAGTAAATTAAAACCACAAGCCTGAGGCTAGCTGTTTCTCATTTTAAATTGAGTATAAATAAAGACAGACTTTCCCATGGGGTAGGGTTTACAACCTTTGGAACATCTGGTAAGAGTTAGGCAATTTTAGGAATTCATGGGAAAGTGGGAGAATGACTCTGTTAATGACGATAAAAGACAAAGTACCAGCAAAAGACTAACTTTTAAATTTATTGTGATTTTTCTTGTGTTGTGATTTAATGCCTAGGATATGTTGTTAAATCTGAACCAACTGTTTGAATAATAACTCCATATATATATATGTGTGTGTGTGTGTATATATACATATATGTGTGTGTGTGTGTGTGTGTGTGTGTGTGTATGTAATTTCTTTAATAGTAAAAAAGGAAATAGGAAAAAATTGTCTCTCTTCACCTGGATTGACTGGTATGCTACTCAGCTGGCAGGAACTGTCTATCCATGTTGGCTATTGAGGGTCAAAGTCCATTTTATTAGTTGAAGCCCATGGTCGACCAGTTATTAAATATTACCTCTGGATACTATGTATTTTTAAAAATCATAACAGTATTTATATGGAATTTCAAAAATATATTTTTATTTATTTCAGAGAGGAAGGGAGAGAGAGAGAATCATTGATCGGCTGCCTCTTGGGGATCAAACCTGCAACTCTGGCATATGCCCTTGACCGGACTCAAACCTGGGACGCTCCAGTCCACAGGACGACGCCCTGTCTACTGAGCCAAACCAGCTAGGGCTTATATGAATTTTTAAAACTGTAGTGCACATGTAGTAAATATAATTCAATCTGATTAGAATTCTTGGTTTGCATATTCCTGAGCCTGGGGCTCTGCAGACTTCTTATAGGTATCCTATTACAGCCCTTCAATATTTTTTGCTTCCAGGTTGAGAATTCCTATGGAATTGGTGCACAAGAAAAGAGATAGTCAAGACAGTTGTTAGTGTGTATCATTCTCCCATCCTTCCCTTTCCCCTCCCTTCCCCCCTCTTTTTTTTCTTGCTTGACATATAATAGACAGTTCATATTTATTTAAAAAATGAACTGAAGTGGAATTCAGTTGAGAAAAAGGTTGAATAAATTATATAAGTGCAAGATGGAAAGCAGTATATAAATAGATGAGTAAGTAGTTTTACCCATTTGGCTTAGAAAAGTTTTCATTCTTTACTTCTGTAGAATTGGAGAAACTGGTGGGGAAACTTCTAAAGTCAGCATTTCATTGCTTGACTCCTAATCTGAAATAGACAAGGGCAGTTTCCCTCCATCAATATTTTTCCGTCAGTTTGCTCTCAGCTTCCATAGTCGAGGGCAGGTGGGGCAGAGGGGACAGCTGGTGACTGAAGGAGCACTCAGACCACATCTTTGCATTTCTTTTTTTTTTTTTTTTTTAAATATATATTTTATTGATTTTTTACAGAGAGGAAGGGAGAGAGATAGAGAGTTAGAAACATCGATGAGAGAGAAACATCGATCAGCTGCCTCCTGCACATCTCCTACTGGGGATGTGCCCGCAACCCAGGTACATGCCCTTGACCGGAATCGAACCTGGGACCTTTCAGTCCCCAGGCCGACGCTCTATCCACTGAGCCAAACCGGCCTCGGCTGCATTTCTTTTTAAGTCACCGTGTAAGCAGATTTGGTCTTTCCCCATAGCCTCAGACATTAGTAGCAGGTCAAGAGAAAAACTACTGGTTAACATCAAATAACGTTATAAGTGTTCTCAGTCGTACATGGGAAGAGCCAATACAGGGTGGGGCAAAAGTAGGTTTACAGTTGTGACTATGCGAAAGTTTATTCTTGTATTATGTATTAATTATTGTATTATTTTCCATATGAACAACTGTAAATCTCAACTGTAAACCTATTTTTGCCCTACTGTAGGACAGAACCCTAATTATCTGCTTCTGGATGGTATTCTCTTACTAGGAATAAAAATAGGAAGACTGTTCTGCTACTGATTTCAGTATATATATATTTTTTTTAAATGTGCATTTGACCAGAACCATTATCAGAAACATGTTTTCTGTTCGTGCTGAAAAATCAACCCCTCTGACTGGTCAGTAGTTAGGACTGGTCTTAAAGATGGTAATATCAGTAAGCAGAGTAGACTACACATACGATGCTAGTTTTTAAAATGTCTAGCATAAGCAGTTCCAGATAAATATCCTTTGCAGAGTGGTAAAAGCTTATCTGTTTTGCAAATCTAACTGAAAGATATGGGGAGCAGAGTTTTAAAACTTTTAAGAAAAATGATAGAGTGGAATTGATTTTAGATAGCAGGAAAGTCACGCACTTTTGGTGACACTGGTTGACACAGAAAGCTTGCTGGGTTTCACCATAAACACCAGGGTTTTTCCTACTGTGGTGCTGGGGAAACCATGTGGGGTGGGTAACTCAAGAAAAGCACAAACTATTTAATGAGTAAAGCACATGAGACTTTTCCCTACAGACTTAGAGAGTATCTCCCAAATAAAGATCGATTTGTTTTTTTTAAGTGAACAATGATCAAAACGGAACCAGGATTTTGTTCAAGTTTAAGTGTCTCATGGAAAATACAGCAACCGGCCACTCAACCTGTGGGTTGTGACCCCTTTGGGGGTCTAATGACCCTTTGACAGGGGTTGCCAAAGACCATTGGAAAACATATAGAATTACATATTGTTTTTGTGATTAATCACTATGCTTTAATTATGTTCAATTTGTAACAATGAAAATACATCCTGCATATCAGATATTTACATTATGATTCATAACTGTAGCAAAATTACAGTTATGAAGTAGCAACGAAAATAATTTTATAGTTGGGGTCACCACAACATGAGGAACTGTATTAAAGGGTCTCGGCATTAGGAAGGTTGAGAAGCACTGTGCTAGAGTATGCTGAGCTCCTGATGCAGGCAGGGTGTTCTGGGAGGCTCCTGCTCCACCCTCTGCTCCCTCAGGACCTCCTGCAGCTCAGATTTCCAACTTTGAAGCAATTGCAATGCCACTTCTATTGCTAGGAACTCCCTTCAATGAGTTCTCCTTTTTCCGGCCTCACTTGGAAGATGAACATTTTGTAATGACTTTTGAGGTTCCTGTGCCTTTTTTTATCTTGGTTTTTATCTGCTTGGTAATCTTTTTTTTTTTCCATGTGACTTCAAGCTAGATCAAAGCTTGGCAGGAAGTGAACCTTGACACTGACAGTTGGTGCATAGTTTGAGTCAGGCGGAAAAAGCATGATGTAAAAAATATTCTTACAAGATACTTTTCCCTTCTCAAGTTCCTGTAGACATTCAGTTAGCTGAACGCTTTATGGGGCTCACGATTTCAAATGCATCTAGGGCCCACCCAGGCAGGCACCTAAACATTTGAAACAACCTTATGTAAAACAATCGGAAGTAATTAGACCTATGGCAAAATAGAAACTTTCTTATAGATCTCCATTTCAGTCTTCTTTTCAAACAATATGCTGCCCAAGATAAAATACAATACCGTCTTGCAGGCCAGTTTCTAAGACTATCAGAGTTTACTAGCATTTACCATTGGGTTATAGTTCACACTCCAATAAATTTGAACCCTTAGAAGTACCTGCAGATTAAAAGCAGCCAACTTCTTATAAAATTACAACATAGCAAAACAAAACCATGTAAAGGACATTTAATTATGGTTGGCTTTATGTGATGGATAAGTTACAGTTTTTCTCCTTTATGCTTTTATATTCTTTGTTCACTTTTTACGATTAGCTTGTGTATTCTCTATGTACTCGCCTACCCACCAAATTGCACAATGGAAGGAAGTCAGATGAAACAAACTAAATTCCAAAGAATATCCTCAAGTTGAATAGGTTTCTACATTTTCACTGTTTCTCATTTCACTTTCTCTGAGGCTGGAAAAGAGAGCTCAGATTTTATTTTGAAAATTAAAGCTATTCAAGGGCTGAAGAAGGTGTCTAGAAAAGAAACTAGACTCATTGTGGCTGAAAATTTTATTTGGTGATAGTCAAGCAAACTTCATTGATTTCTAATTGAGTTTCGCTTTGGGCCCAGCAGTCTTCATAGAATTGTAAGCTAAAAAAGACTACCATAGTGTTTCTTAAGCAAGCTGCTACGTAGAACAGAGAAATTTGAAAATCTTGGGGTGTTTTGGAAATGGTTGGTGAAATCCATACCAGAGGATTTATTTGCCCATTTTGTGTGCCCAGTGACTTGTAAGTTTGTCACAACAGCCAGAAATGTCAACCGGGTATTTCCACGTAAAGCAGCGGTTCTCAACCTGTGGGTCACGACCCCTTTGGCAGTCGAACGACCCTTTCACAGGGGTCACCTAAGACCATCCAGCATATCAGATATTTACATTACGATTCATAACAGTAGCAACATTACAGTTATGAAGTAGCAACGAAAATAATTTTATGGTTGGGTCACAACGTGAGGAACTGTATTTAAAGGGCCAGAAGGTTGAGAACCACTGAAAGGATTTGAGAATCATGTACCGTTTTTCTCACCATGCTTTCTGGGTTCATTTTAAAGAGGTAACAATTTAGCCTTTAGAATACTTTTTATTAGGATAGGTTTACTTGTTTCAATGTAGAGTCAATACACAAATTAGGATATTTTTTAAAACCATCTTGGAGTTTACTTTTTTAAAAAATTTGTTTTATTTTTATTGATTTCAGAGAAGAAGGGAGAGGGAGAGAGAGAGATAGAAACATTGATGATGACAGGAAATCATTGATTAGCTGCCCTCCTGTATTCCCCCTACTGGGCTCGAGCCCACAACCTGGGCATGTGCCCTTGACTGGAATTGAACCCAGGACCCTTCAGTCTGCAGGCCAATGCTCTATCCACTAAGCCAAAATGGCTAGGGCATGGATTTTACTTTTAAGTATATTTCAATTTAGGGAAGGAATGAGAAGTTTAACACTTAATGCATGCCTAACTATGTATTTTTGTTTTCTTTCATGATTTTTAATTTCAACATAATGACTCAGTTTCCCATTGTAAACTCTTTGTAGGATGTCACTGATTTTATCAGTCAGTTGTTCATGCAGCTGGGAACTGTGGGAATATATGATTTACCATATCAGAGGAACAAACTGGGTGAGCTCCATTGAAATATTTTTAACTTTTCTTATTAAAAGCAAGCGTCCCTCCTCCTGGTGGCTTATGCACATTAATCTCTATTTATCAGGGAGATGGAGAGGAAACAGGAAAGATGATGGTTTTCTTGTAGATTTGTAGGATTTCTTGCTTGAGCCTGCTGACTTGCTGCCTTTTTCATGCCTGCACTATTTTGTGTGAGTGAGCTTTTACTTTAACATGTTCTGTGTGCGCACATCAGATGAGCTCTTCCAGGAATGATACTTATAACATAAATAGACATGAACCCCAAAAGGTAAAGACCCAGTTAAGAAAAGATTGACTGTAAGTTCAGTTCAAATCCTTGAAGTAGCTGTGCTCCCTTGGTTTGTTCATGTTTTTCTTCTTAAAAAGACTCACGAGGGAACCATGCCAGGCCAAGGCACCTGAAGGCTGTCTTCCATTAGAGAAGGTGGCTCTTCCAGAGACATTGATGTGCTTGTCCCTTATTCCTGTGATATGTCACCCATCTTTTAAATAAACTGTGGACTGGAAGAAGAGGATATTTGTCACTCTGTACATTTTCACACTTGCAGAATAGATGTTCAAATCATCGCTCGTGCTGGACCCATTCATTTAAATGTCCAGAATTTTGATGGAAAAAATGGGTGGTTAGAGAGTCAAGTTGATAGGGACTTTCCTTGCATTTTAACATTTCCCCCCTTTCCCTTCCTCTTGTACTTAGCTCTGAAGTACCAAAGCGAGGTATGAAAAATGGAACTGGCTAAAGCCTTTTATCCTATGACAGCATTTGCCAAAAATTGTTTAATGTCCCAGCAGTGGTCCACAAATCTGCCAGCTAGGATTGCTCATTAAGTATAACATTTCATCTGGTTACACTTTAAGGATCATTCCAGGCAGCCACTAATAAGAGATCAAAATGAAAACTAGAGCTGAAACCAAGAAGCTGTTTCTTCTGAGTTCCTTTCGGTCACTGAATAATTTTCTTTATTTCAGAACTCCTCAGAATCTTTACTATAATACATGATGATAGTTTAGGAGAAAGATATAATAGGAAATAGGAAGATATAATAGGAAATTGTTTGTTTTTACCTTACAAAAAAGTAAAGTATTCTCAATGCAGTTGATGCACTCCTGGCTTAACACTCTCACTCTCCCTCCTAATGATTGAGACAACAGTAAAAAGGACAGTCCCTGGTATTTGTTTTTAAATGATAAGTAGCCCATAACCTGGAAATAAGGATCCTAGCAGCACTAAGTCTGCATTTAGAATTTGTAAGGTATACATGCTAATGTACCTAGGTTGCCAGATTAGCCTGTTTCTTAAGTACATTTCCAAAGTGTATTAGGTTTGGCCGTTAATTTCAAATGCATCTGCATGTGCTTCTTAAGCCTGTTGACTGCATTGGGCAATACCTGTTGCTTCAGCTTTCAGCTTTTGAGAATGGCAGCTTTTGGCGAATGTCTTACACAGCATTAAGAAAGCACACACAAAAACCCAGCATCGGGTATTTTTTTTTTGCTTAAGAAATTAATATGGTTAAGCATTGTGAAGAGACAGTATTAACTCCAGTTTTTATTGTTTTGTAGTTATTACATAGAGCATCTGTTGAGGGGCTCTTTTAAAACCACAGCCCCAAACAGGCTTTGGGGCTGAGAGGCTGAGCAGCATGCCGCACTGGACCACCTACCTGTAACCGCTAGCGGAGGCCCCCGGCAGCCACAGAGCCCTCTGGAGTCTGTCTGTGCATGTAGAATGCAGAGGAGGCCTGGGGACCTACCTCCAAGGCAGCTGCCCTCCTGAACATTTCCGTGGAAAGCAGCCACCACCATTTTGGAATGTGAACCGCCAGAGACTGCTCTACAGGAGAAAGGAAAACTGTTCTGGAAGTCTTGGGTGGCTTCGCCATGCAGCCTTTGAGTAAAAGGAACACTGCAACCTAAGTTTTTTCCTCTTTTGAACACTCTGCTCTTGAGGGACCCCAGCATCCATCGTAAGGAGAAAATAAGGCCTCCGGATATCTTGAGATGCGCAGATAGGTTATTGGTGGGAAGATGGCCCCTTGGAAGAGGCTTTTCTGAGGGAAGCCCATCTGCCGAAGGGTATCTTTATGTTCTCATTAGGTGCCAGCCTTGTGCTAAGAATTTGAGGTACTTTACCTTTCAGAAACCCTATAAAGTACACACCACTAGCTTCCTTTCCTAGTTTGGGGTAGTCTCATGTAGTCACAGCTGAAGTGATAAATGATCAGGGCTAGTCTTGCAAACCTAAGAAGCATTTCCTTGTTCTCTGCTCTGAACATTTGTTTTGATGATGGAAGGAGAGAAGATTGGGCGGGTATGAAACGGCAAATATATGTGAAAGAAAAGCCCTTTCGCAAGTACTTGGGGTCACATTTGGGTAGACTTTCTGGCGAGTCCCAGTCTGTAAACATCACAGATGTTAGTTTAATGGAATTGAATGTTCACTGCATTGGCTCCTGTTGAGATTTTAGGAGAAGAGTTGGCTTGAAGCTTAGGTTTCCTTTCCAAATGAGGAGACTCACTTTCTTTCCCAAGCCAGGGTCCTGTCATTCAAGACAAAAAAAAAAAAAAAAAATTACCTTCTACTTCCCTTTGTAGTCCCTCAAAGTGGAAAAGGAGAGCTTTGTAATCTTCAAATTAAGTACAACTTAAGTACCTTTGCCAAGTTCACTTCTCTTAATACCACTATTGTTCACACCGATTGCTATCATTTAGCTCTTTCCTGCTGAACAATGGACTAGTTTCCTCCTCAGGTCAGAGCTGACTAATATCAGCCTTGGTAATGCGAACATGGGGGCTCCACCTAATTCATATTGTCTGGGAGAACTTCCCTCCTGCATCCCAGCTTTAAGGGAGGAGTCTTTCCCTAGGGAGCAGGTTGCCATCATTACACTGTGAGCTCAGATAACTCCTTGTACTACCTGAGAGGTCCTGATGGTCAGCAGCTCTGGGAAGGTGGTATCTTATAAAGAGGAAGTAACGGTACAGCCGACTACTACCTGGATTCTTTCTTCCATCCTACCTCCGGACCTGATCGCCCGTCTTCACTCAGGGCCTTCATGCCACCTCTGTGAAACCCTCCCCCGCTCTTTCTGTTGGTGGGAGAAATGCCATTATTTTGGTTCTCATTGTGCTACACAGGTACGTCTGCTCAGGCAGTACTAACCCTGCTGTAATGGGATGATGTGATAGCATGTCTTCACCTTTTTCCAGACTGAACCTCTCTTATTTCCCTGGATATCTTAAGCACTCAGTGCACATAGAAATAAGAGGTTGGAAGGTTAACCACGCTTCTCTTGTCCTTTCAAAGATTTCTCACAAGTAATATCAGCTTACAAAATAAATCAGGGATAGTACTATGTTTAGAGTTTGGGTTCTCTACTCTAAGATGTGTCAGGTTACCTGTCTCTAGAGTCCTGAGAGAGTTGTATGTTTTCAAACAGATTTTCAGGATGTAAATTGTGACGAAGCAACCAATATATGTAAAAATGTATTATGGAATTTAAAATCACCTCTAAAGTAATTTGTTTGTTTCTCTGAGAGTAACTGCATCTAAACCAGGGGTGGAAAACGTCTGGCCTGTGGCCTTATGAGGCCAGCAAAATCATTTGGTCTGGCCCTGCCAAGACATTAGGGATGAGTTAATTAAATGTTTGCCCAAATATAGCAGGGTAATTTTAAAGTTGATAACTTTGAATGGCCCGCAAACAATGTTATAAATATCCAAGTGGCCTTGGCAGAAGAAAAGGCTCTTTATTGTTAACCTAAATGTTCGTTTTGATTATGGAAGAAGAGAAAATATTTGGTGGATATGAAACTGCAAATATATGTGTTAAAAGGCCGCATGGGCTGGGCTAACATGGCTCAGTGGTTGAGCATTGACCTATGAACCAGGAGGTTATGGTTCGATTCCTGGTCAGGGCATATACCCAGATTGCTGGCTTGATCCCCAGTATGGGGCATGCAGGAGGCAGCCAGTCAATGATTCTTTCTCATCATTGATGTTTCCATCTCTCCCCCCCCGCCTCCATGCTTCTCTGAAATCAATAAAAATATATTTTTTTTAAAAAAAGGCCACATGGTATAGTACTCTTAGCATTCTCTGTTGTAATTGCCTGCTTGTCCTCTCCTCTGGTCTTTAATCTCCATGACGGCAGAGATGAACTCTGTATTACTGACCATTTTATTCCCTCTGTATAGCACAATATGTGGAAATAATAGGGCTTCAATAAATATATATTTGTACAAACAAGAGAATTGAATATGTCATTGTGTTGTCCTCTTGTGTTATGGATGTTTCTGGACATATTGTTGCCTTTGAGTCCTCTGAGCCTGTGGTGGACCCTCAGGTCTTATTTGTAGAATGACTTTAGAAAATAGATGAGGTTTTCACATTTTATTCTGTTTATGTATGTTTTAATTTTTGTGTGAGACTACAGAGGTCAAGATAGGACTCAAAATTAAAAAGAGTAGACTTTCAGAATGACTAAAAACTAAGTTAGCTATCAGGGGAATAGCTTTGTGACTGCAGTGGTTCCCCAAACCCTGGAGAATCAACTAGCCTGGGATGCGTAGAGTACAACATGAGGAATATAGTCAGTAATCATAATAATAAAGCGCTATATGCTAATGGTTGGGACGCCGTAATGTGTAACGACCTATCGCAAGAGGCTGCCTGTGCGTGCACAGCGGGGCATTGCTCTAGAAATGGGGCGGAAGCGGAGAGGTGCCCAGAGGAGGTGGGACCATCCTGTGCCCAGGAGGGCAGGGGTGAGAGCCTGTAGCGCCCCCCTCACCACTCCTTCACCACCCATCGCTTGCACTCTGAGCACCCCGCTGCCCAACTGCCAGGGGAAGGAGCACAGCACAGCAGTGGGGAGGCTTCCACGCTCTCCTCTGGTGCCATGACAGGCAGAGCCGCGCAGCGTTGCTCTGGAGATGGAGATGTTGCTCTGGAGATGGAGACGTTGCTCTGGAGATGGAGATGGGGCTGAAGCAGGGAGGTGGCTGGAGAAGGCTGGACCAGCCCGAGGCCACTTGGGCTGAGGATGGGGCTTGAAGGGGCCAGAGAAGGCCAGAGGAGAGGGGTCGGGGGCTGGGCCAGGTGCACTGGAGCTCTGTGTGGAGAGGTTCGGGTGTCAAGGCAGGGCAGCGGGTAGGCGGGAGGGGCCACGCGATTTCTCTCGCTGGGCTCCTAGTACTGTAATAACTATGTATGATGTCAGATGAGTACTAGACTGTTGAGGTGACCCGAAACTAATATACTACTGTATGTCAACTTTAATTGAAAAATAAATTTAAAATAAAAAGAGTTCATGAGCAAGTAAGTGATGAATAAGCCAGGGATTTTGGCTACTTTGCTGAGTGGTAAATTGCTCTGTTTTCTTTTTCACTAGTTCTCGATCATGTAGTTTGGCTCCAACTGATTCTCTTTTCAGGACTGGAAATAAACTTATGACCCACCATTTTTCCATGTAAATCTAGCTTCTAATTCCTTCAGTTAAATGCTGGAAGTTATTTGGTTGCAAATAATGTGAACAGTTTCATCATTCATTAAAATTCAACAAAAACAATGGTTAAGTCCACTTAGTAAGCAGAAAACTAGAGCAAATCCTTGAAACTAACATAGGGAAGTTTGTTTCTTTAGAAGAAAGACTTACTTTTGCCCGGCCAGAGGGACTCAGTCAGTTGAGTGTCATCCCATGCACTGAAAGGTTGGAGGTTCAATTCCTGGTCAGGGCACATACCTGAGTTGCAGTTTGATCCCCGGTCAAGGAGCATAAGGAAAACAACCCATTGCTCTTTCTCTCTTCTCCCCTGCCCCTCCTTTCCTCTCTATTCATGTCCTCCAGTGAAGATTTAAAAAAAGATGCTGTACTCTTGGGTGGGTTTGGTAGAACATCAATTTAGTAAAATGTGCCTTGCTCTCTCTTGTTGCCATCTAACAGCTTTACTCACCCCCCAGACCAAGTGGTTAGTATGGAAATAATACAATCTATACAAATAAAAGGGTAATATGCTAATTAGACTGGGAGACAGGACATCTCCTGACCATCTGAATTCTTCCAGACAAAGCCACGTTGGTGGGGGCCAAGGGAGAGGCAGTTAGGGGCCATGAGGCTGGCAGGGGACTGCAGTTGGGGGCCATCAGGCTGGCAGGGGAGGGCAGTTGGGGGCCATCAGGCTGGCAGGGGGAGCGGTTAGAGGCGGTGTTCAAGCCAGGAGGCAGGCAAGCGGTGCGGGATTGCGAGAGGGATGTCCGACTGCCAGTTAAGCCAATAAACCGGCAGTCGGACATCCCCTGAGGGGTCCTGGATTGGAGAGGGTGCATGCTGGGCTGAGGGATCCAATCCCCCCACCCCCCGCATGAATTTTGTGCACCAGGCCTCTAGTAATTAATAAATAAGAATAAATTAAGAACTGTAAACCTACTTTTGCCCCACCCATTATGTTTACATTAAACCAAGGGCAAAAAATTGAATAAACATTCTTTATCTTAAAGTATTGTCAGGATGTAATCTCTCTCTATACATGGTTTACCATTAAATCATTCCTCTTTTCTGCAATGGTGAATGATTTGGATGGAATAGACCTAGATGTCCAAGTTTTTAATTATGGATCTCACAGTATGTATAGGAACATTTAAAAATTATATACATGCACTATCAAACATGAAATAATAAATATAAATAATATTGGATTGATTTATTATCAGAAAAATGTCCTGCCAAAATACATTTCATGATGATAACCTTTGAAAACAATACACAAATATGTTTCATTATCATGACTTTGTTGCCAAAAGCCATGTGAGAGTCTCTGTTACCAATAGTTTTCATTACTGCAAATTTTCAACATTTGGAAACAGAATTTTCTAATTAAAATCTTTGAAATAAATAATTTTATTAGTTTTGACCAATTTTGCTAAAGTTTAGAAGTTCCACAGGTTCATTGGAGTTTAGAAGAATTACTGTTCTAAATGTCACTTGGGATAGTGACATTTTAATAGACAAATTTGAATGGAATAGTTTGCTTTATTGATGAATACGATTAAAAATTGAATACTGCAGTGATGGAACCATTTCAAAGCACTGTTTTTAAAACCTTATCTTTTAACTTGCCTGACAGAACTCATACAGGGAATAGGGTAAATGCAAGCTTCGTCCTTCTCTTATGTGTGCTCCTATTCACATCTTTAGCATTTGCAAATATGATTTCCTTGCATGTATTATTTTAAGCTACTTGTTCATTTTGTGAGAGCTTAATTAGTAAGGATACAAATTTAAGCAGGCACATATAAAAGGGAATATGCTATGTCCTAACCATCTCATAGGTAGCACACTGTACATGACAAGTGAACATGTACACTGGAACTTCGCGGAGGTATCAGTGTTGCTTTGTATATTAAGTAATAGTGGAGGTTGTTTTTCAATTTTACTTCTATATTACAAATATAAATAGAAGTAATAATATTTTTTCCAAAATTTCTATGGATTATCTTTTCATCTCATTTTGGAAATCCCTAGTTGACAGGGTGGGCTGTATATTGACAATTTGGGTTGAAGTGTAAGTTCTTTGATGACATGGATAAAGTCTTAAACAGCTTTGTATCCCCATTGTTACAGATGGTCGTGTTTATATTGTTACTTGTTTAGTGCTTTAAACTTTTTGAACTCTTCAAATTTCAGTGTCATCTTGATCCTTTATAGGAATCCAGTGAAATAGATATCATTCCCATTTCCAGATGAAGAAATCGAGGCTCCCTAGTTATGACTTGCTCTTAAATAAGTGGCAGAACAAGGAATTACAGGTCAAAGTCCTTTTTACTAAACTGCATTTGTCTCATAGCCAATACATTACATATTCAAATATTTGCTAAGTATAGCAATAATCAGAGAAACAGTGGAACAAGGTGTAAGTGATTTTTATTTTTCTCCCCTCTGTGTGTCAAGAAGTAGTTGAGAAAGAGATCTCCAATAAATAACAAGTTATAAAATAGGCCAATCTGTTTTTGTTTTTGTTTTTGTTTTTAAATTGGTTAATATTTCTTAGTAGAGCTGATTGAATAGTGGATAAAATCAGTGAGAAATGGAAGAAAGATTTTTTTTTGATGTACGCTTGGCAACCCAGTAGTAATTTTGAAGAAGCAAATGGATTGAATCCTAGTAGTTTTCTAAACTTAAGTGTAGGGTTTGGAGGTTCTTCAAATTTTATGAAATTAATCTACTTTGCTGCAATAAAAATTGCCATAAGTGAATAGAAACTTAAATTACCCTATCTGTGCAAAGCAGTATTCAGAGACTAATGTTTATACAAAAGAAATAAAAGCCTTAGAAGAAAAATTTGGCTACATTTCACCCAAGATTTCAGCTTCTTAATTGGTAATAATGTCAAAAACCACATAAGAAGTATTTCACAATAGCAGAAAAAATGACAGATACCCTGGGAACATTAAAACCAAGAAGATAACAGGGGCACTGTGTGTGTGTGGTCCTCTCAAATTAAGGTACTGAATACATGGCTTCTGGAGGGGTAAGGGCCCCATTCCTCCTAAGTTATAGCTGTTTTGCATAGCAGTGTTACAGCCTTGTCCTACCTTTTATAAGGTAATTTCAGTTTCTTAAAAATAAAATACCAAAGAAAACCCAACAAATTATTTTAGATGGGGAAAACTGCAGAATAATATAAAATAACATTTTAAAATGGAAACTAATTCCATCCATTTAATGTATCAAAGATGGTACACAAATGGATAGCTTCTTTCGTACATTTATTTGAGCTAAAACAACAAAAACAGTTGTAGTTTTTTTAGGATTATTTAGGATTCCTTAGACATATAAATACTGTAAATACATAAAGAGAGTGTCTAAACTAAGAATTACTTGCCTGGCTTTATAAATATTAAATAGAAACCTACAGATGTAAGGAATGCAATTAGGAAGCTGAAGAGATATGTTGGAATTTCCAAGCTAAAATTGCTGATAGAGAAACAGATTTGGAGAGGAAAAGTGACTTCTAGAGTAACATTGTAAGTCAGAGTTTGGTCTTTGATCATGGCAGGACCACACTTCTGTTAATTTTAAACTTTGTATTTCTTCTGAGGTTCCTTGTGATTGTTGAAATAAGACTTGGCATTTGTTCTAACTGCCTCTTAGTTCCAGACAGTATCCTACTTATTGAATAAACAAAAATCCTGTTCTCACGGCATGCGCGCACATGTGTGTGTGTGTGTGTGTGTGTGTGTGTGTGTGTGT